GGAAAATCGATTTCTCAACTTAACAAAAAACCGTGCTATATTGATAAATAAAACGTACAGTATGCTATTTGATGAATTAAAAAATAAATACGTGCCACTGTAGAATATTTTTACTATTAAGTTTACATGAATTTTTCATTTAATTATTATTCTATTTTCACTATATTTTATATTTATTTAAAATAATAATTTACAAATATATTATTAGTTTTCATAATTATTTGTTATTATTAGTCAATATTAATTATTATTTTATACTTTATAATTATTTAATAATTAGTCAAATAATTTATTTAATATGTCAAAATTATTTTTTTTATGGATATGCAATGTAAATAATTTTATAATTATTTATTTATATAATTTTTAATAACTATTTTAAAAAAATTTAATTTTTTAAATTTGTTTCCACTTACAAACACTTTTAAATTTTTTTTCTTTCAAATATATAATCAATGTTAAAATATGGATAATTAATTAAAAAATTATATTTATAATAATTTTAACCTTATTTTATACACAAGGGTAAAATGGTAATTTTCTTAAATAATTAATTAAAATTATAATTTTTATATCTCATATCAATCAAATCACTCATAATTTTCCATAAACTTTTCTTTCATTTTCCATTCATCCAAACAACTTTAATTTTATCTCCATTTTTCTTCAAATTCCTCCTTTTCCACATTCCCATTTTCACTCTCTCAAATCACTCTAACAAAACAAATCATTAATGTATTTAATTTTTCAAAATTTTCAACTATACTGGACTGTTTTGCTTGTCCTGTTGTACAATTTGCATTCGCTAAGTTTGAAATCCGAGATAAGAAAATTAGATAATTTTAGATATATAGTATTTATTTTTTTGCAAGTTATTTAGAAAATTAATTTTAATTTTTTTAAAAAAATTTTAAATATATGATTTATATTAAAATTATATATTTTTATTTTTAAAATTTTTTATAAACAATTATCAATGAAAATACTCCAAGATATTAGACGAATATATAATAAAAAGAAATAAAAATATAATATATCAAACATATCATATATGATCATAGTCATGTTGCTGATTCAAATAAATTTGAATTTAAATTTCTTAAATAATATATAATATTAGAGCTTTGTGAATTTTAATTTCTTAAATAATATATCTATATCTAGATCTCTGTATATAAATAAAAGAGTAGAGCTTTCTGAACAAAATAAAGGTGAAAGTTTAACTAAAATTAATTAATCAGATTTCTTATACAAAATCAATAAAAAAACAAAATCAGTACACATTTTGCATCAATAATATAAACATCGATCAAAATATTTTTATTGAGGTAGTTATTTATTATCTCATTATTTTTTTTAATTTTAAAAAATGAAAAATATTAAAAACGTACTTTTTTATTTTAATTTATTTCTACTATAAACAAAATACATTCAGTAGACTTAAGTTTTAAAATTCTTTTTTTTTAGTATCTTATGAAATACACGTGTAATAAATATTGCAATTTTTTTATTAAATTAATTTCTAACTTCTCAAACATAAAAAAAATAATATTATGGTGTTATAATATATCTTCATTACCAACAAAATAAATTATACATTTTTATTATTTTTAAAATTTTATTTAATATAATATTTTGTTTTAATAATAAAAAAATAAAGATCGAGAATTTAGTAATTTAAAACACCTGGTTAAATGGAATAAAGGTTAAAGTTTTTATTTTAAAATAAAAATAATTTAAATAGAAAATTCTTAACTTTCAAATTTCATTTTTAAAGAATTATTATCTCTTTAAATTTTAAATTCTCTTACTTCTCTTCAAAACTTTCTTACTAAATTCTTATTTTTATTTTCTAAATAAAACACATTATTGTGTTCTCAGCGAATAGGAAAATATTTTCATCTAATCGAATCTTAAATAGAATAAGTTTTCCTCTAATTTTAAAGTATATATTTTTATAAATTTTGGACTAAGATTTTGCATGTGAGTCTTCCATGTGATCTTGGTAGGGTAAAAATGAATCTTCACTAATATAGAAACATTGTGATAAATTCAATTTATTAATTGAGGTTTATTATGAGTAGGACCCGACTCTCTAAGAAATTGGGGATTGAAAATTTTTAAGTTTGAGAACACTAAAATTGGAAAGTAAGAAAAATTAGTTATTTTTCTTAAATTTCTATAATACTCTATGCTAGAATATTTGTATTGTGAATAAGACTTGGTCACATTGTTTGAGTTTCAAGAATTTGGATTGTGTGATTGTGTATGTGTTGATTTGTGATGATTGTATTGAATATGAATATATAATTTATTTCTATGATATTGAAAATGATATTTTTTGGTATGAAAGTATTATTCTGAGATTGAATTTAGTGAATTGATTTACAAGATGAGGGTAAGATTTAGATTTAATTTGATTTGAAATATTGAAATAAGGTATTGAATAGATTATGTAGTGTACTGCGGTCACGAATTTGCCTAACAAATCTAAATTTGCTAAGCGCATTTAAAGCAATGATGAAAATGCTTGAAATTCTTTCAATACTTTCAACTTCGTCCAGCATATTCTAGGCAGTGTTTGAGATTCTATTCTATCAAAATTTCATTTAACGAATTTGAAATTCGCTTAACTCTTTCAATATTGTGTTAGGTGCTTAATATATGTATATAAAAATATATTGTTGTAATGTGACAAATATCATGCAATTCCCTTATATGTATGTTATATTTGTGATGAATTGATGAAAATCAACATTATAATTTCGAAAGAGAAAATACTATGTTGAGATGAAGATAATGTATTAAATATGAGATTCTAAATGAGATATTTTAACTTTACTTATATTGCATATAAAGAAAAGTATTAGGTGGTGAGAGTTAAAGGTGGTTTCTTTTACTTAGCTTGTGATGTGAAAAAGAATTGTATATGAAAAATCATATGGATTTATCCTGAGAAATGAGAGAATGTGTTCCAATTATGTATATTTTTTGGAGATATCCACTTAGAAAATATAGTGTGATAGATATGAATCTCTAAGTCTAAATTCAATGGATGAGAGTATTTTAAAAGTAGAATTAAGTATTTATGATTGTAAATATCAATATACGATGACATGAAATGTAGCTTCCATGTCTGCGATATTAAAAACTTAGATGATCAATCATTAAACAATTGAGGTGGAAAAGAAACTTTATATTTCAATTTTTTTAAAATATATAAAGAACTTATGTAATGTAATAATACTTATTTTAAAATATTTAGATATATGATAAATAACTATATGTATTTATATCTTTATTTTTAAATCTTTTCTTTTAATATAAGGGTCGTGGTTGAAAAAAAAACTCTATTTAATAATAAAAAAAATCCTCATTTAATCTTTCCAAACAAATTCACCTATAAATGTTTAATGACAGACGAAATATTTTTATTATAACTTGAACTAAATATCGGTAAAAATAATAAAAAAGAAAAGTGTGATTATATAATAAAACTTTAAGACAAAAATTAATAATAGAAAAAATTGATATAATTAATTTGGTTGGAGAGTTTATTAAATTTGTCAATTCATATAGGATCTAATTCGATTAAAAATGTAAAACCCTATTTTTCATATTACATATTCTACTTTTTTATTTTATATTATATCTTAAAAAAACTAATACATTTTATAATAAAATAAAAATAACACACTTTTAAGATGTCACGATTATATCTTCATTATTTTAATTGATAAATAATCGTCGCAAAAATGATACAACGTAATGTTTATTAATATATTATTGAAACTATAGTTGATAGTTAAACGTTAGAAGTTAGTATTAACCGTAGTTAACCTTATTGAAATATAATTTTTTTAAAAATGATTTATTGAAGCAATAGGTATATATAAAATGATAAAAATAAATTTGTTCGAATAATAATTTTTTTATATAAGATTTAAGTAATTTTAAATGATACAATTATATTTTGGGATACTCATAATTCAATATTTTTTATTCATTTTAAATTCTTATAATTTCTATTTATATGACAGTAACTATTTTTTAATCAACTATATTTTGTACGTTGCATATTTTATTATTAATGTTGTATAAAATCTTAAAATATATCAATAAATTTAAAATAAAAAATAAATATAAGTTACACTTACAATGATGTGTATAATGGTTAAAATGTCTTACAATATATTGAAACCTATCTTACTCAAATAGAATAAAACATAAATTTATTAGTAATATAATACAGATACAAAATATTAGAAAGTATTGATTTAAAATATACTTGAAGTATCATTTTTAAAATTGCTTTATATATGCTTATGCTACTTTTAACTTTGATCTAAAGTTAGAAACATGATACTGGGAACACGACCGATGGTCATGTGATATATATATTTCAAATTTGAATTACATCCATACAATATTCATCAACTTTATTATTATTATTATTATTATTATTATTATTATTATTATTATTATTATTATTATTATTATTATTATTATTATTATTACTTAGATCTCATATAAACCTATTTATTGATAAATCAAAAAAATAATATCTATGATTAGAATGTTATTGATATTTTTTAGGGTTATATATATCGATAATCCACTTTTTTTAACATTTATCCAATAATTTATTTTTATATTATTATTTATCTATTTTATTTCATTCTTTTTATTAATTAATAAAATAATAAAAATTTAGGATTATTTATGGAATGTTTAAAAAAATTGGGTGTCAACATTTTTTTCAATTTCTGGAATTTTAATTTTAAATTATAATGAAAAATATATATTTTTTATTTTGGTTGATTGACGTAGAAAAGTAAAATAGATAAATAATAATAAATAATAATATAAAAAGTTGTAAGATGAATGATTGGAAAGAGGGGTGTGAATATATCATAGCCCAACTATATAAAAAGCATGCATGGTAGATCCATTGTATCCCCGCAAAGAGCCAACAGCTACACACTCTCCATCTGCATTCTATGGCTAATCATATTAACATTCATGAGCCAGTGAAGATGTTAGAACAATGCCAAATTGCTCCACCATCTTCACTTCCCTCAACCACTCTTCCTCTTACTCTCTTCGACTTTCCTTTCTTTAACGCCGACCCCATCAAACGCATCTTCTTCTATGAGTTTCCCCACCCCACTCACCATTTCCTCCAAACAGCACTTCCCATTCTCAAACACTCTCTTTCCCTCTCTCTCCTACACTTCTTCCCCTTTGCCTCCTATCTCATCGTTCAACCACAACCCCATCTCTCTCACATCCGTTACCTTCATGGCGATTCTCTCTCCTTCACCGTTGCAGAGTCCACCGCAGACTTCACTCTCCTCACCTCCGATTCACCTCAAGACGTTCGAAACTTTCACCCTCTTGTTCCCGCGTTGTCTCCCCCACGTGTTGAGCAAGATGGCACCCGTGTGTTCCCTCTCATGGCTATTCAAGTCACGGTCCTCCCAAATTCTGGCCTCGCCATATGTCTCACCGTCAACCATGTTGTTGGGGATGGCAAATCTCTTCATCATTTCGTCAAGTTTTGGGCTTCTCTTTGCAAGGCAGGAGGGGACTTGGCTTCCCTAGAAACCTCTTTGTCTCTTCCTTCGCATGAGCGGGACAGAATTAAAGACCCAAAAGGCCATAAGCTCCTTTTCTCCGAAATATTTGCGATTAGTGAACCAAAAAGAGAAAGAACTGAGTTCGCAGGGGTCAAGGATCGCTTCACTGTTGTATTGAGTCGTGAACAAACTGAGACATTAAAGAAATGGGTCTCTCTTAAATGTGGCATCTACGATTCCCGGGCATTACACATATCAACCTTTGTGGTAACATGCTCCTTGATTTGGGTTTGCATGGTTGTATCAGAGGAGAGCAAACAAGACTCTGATGAACTGTGCTACTTGTGGATTCCAGCTGATTCTCGTGATCGTCCTGAATTTTCGTTAACTTCAACGTACTTTGGGAACTGTCTAACCGCTTGCATGGTGGCAATTAAGAGGAGTGAGATAGTGGGAGAAAATGGGATCGTTGCAGTGGCAAATGGCATTGAAAGGGAAATTAGAGATTTCAAGAGTGATGCTTTGAGAAAGGCTGAAATGTTGGTGTCAGATTATAGAGAACATGTGAAACCTGGTAAATCTGTGTTGATAATTGCGGGGTCACCAAAACTGGGTGTATACCAAACTGATTTTGGATGGGGTAAGCCCAAGAAATGTGAAGCAGCACACGTTGAATCGTCAGAAGCAATTTCTCTTTCAGATTGTAGAGACGAAAAAGGTGGAATTGAGGTGGGATTGGCGCTGGAAAGAAATCGAATTGATAAGTTCACCAGCATCTTGGAAGACCATCTCAATAATATTAATAAATTCTGAGTGAATAATTCAGGGGTTATATTTTTCATTTTCTGTTTCTGTGTGAATTGTTTCTTCTCTCTGAGTAATATTACACTTTAGAGTGATGTGATTATAGAGCTCTTCATAAGCTGAGTGATTCATGAGTTTAGTTCCGTTCTTCAAATTATATTTGGATGGTTTAAATATTTGAATTTGGATGAATTCATGTAACCCAGATTTTAAGTTGGGATCTTAAAACTGAGTATTAATAATATAATAATAATTAGTATTCAGGGAAGAGTAGTTCCCAAAACATCATTTCTCTCTTCATTTTATTGTGATTGATTGGTGCTTTCAACTTCTAAATTCAAAAACTCTTTCTCCCTTTAATTTTTATTTAGGGTGATTAAAACCCTTTTTTTATTATTTATTTTTAATAGATAAAAATTATTATAATTTATTACGAAAATCAACAAATTTTATTGAAAGAATTCAATATCTTAAGTGTGTGTTCAATACATTTTCAGTGAAAAAAAAACTAGGTATCAAGATCGAATTGGACATTCTCCCAAAAATAATTAACAAAATATAATTAAAAATAAAATTTAAGTTATCCATGTTTGATTATATATTTTTTAACTTTAATTATATTACTATATGCACAAGGATAATATTTTTTAAAATTTAATGAATTATTCAAAATTTTAAAAATTATAAAAATAAAAAATTATGTATACTTATATTGGAATTTAAGTATGAATTTTAATTCATGTTATAAGTGAGAATTTTTAAAAATCTAATATTTAAGATTTTAGGTTAAAACTTGAAATCATTCTCTTTTATTTTATTATTTAATTTCATGATGTAATATTCATAAATACAAGTTTAATGTAGTTTTCCCCAATAAAACCTACCATAATTAACTTCCAACAACCTTAAAAGTATTATTCAAGTCTAAAAACAAAATTACAGAAGAGAAACATTTTTGTCACATAGGGTTTTTTATTCCTTTCATTTGAGATCCTGAAAGAGAAGAGAAAACGTTTGGAAAAGTCCAAAATGTGACGTGTCTGTATTTTTGCTGGGGACTACTGCTCAAGAGGAATCAGTCTTCTGAATTTGTTTCCTTCATTGCATGTTTCACAGATGGACATATGCATGCACATGATTCTTTGGAAGTGACAGCCTTATAATAAAACAATAACATTCATTTTTCAAATATTTTAATATTATAAATATTAATGGAAATAAATAGCACAATTATTTGGGTTATATATTAATTAATAATTCATATGGATGACTTTGTTTATATGTACACTAAACATGAAAATCTGAATTGATACAATAAAATGTTTGGAACATAAATGTTTTAAAATAACAATTATTGGCCGAATTGCATATTTTATCACTATAAATGTATAGTTTTACATTTTTTTTAATCTTTTTATGACTTGGTCAATGAATAAGATGAAAAGTAAACATGTTATGATGATGCGATTAAAAAATTAAATGAAAAAATTGCATATTATATTGATTATAAACAATGATATTATATACTATTCTTAAATATTAATTACTTTTTAATTTATCTGTATTTTACTCTAATTATATTTTTAATATTTTATGCAGGTTTACGTCCAAATATAGATAAAATTTATAACACGTTAAAATGAACAAATTTAAATAAAAAAATTATATAAACATTTTTGGTAATATTAATTTGGTGTAAAGCTACTTCAAATATTTAATATAATTTTCTCTCAATTAATCACTTAAAAATTATTGACGTCTAATAATTATAAAAATAAAATATACATATTTTGTGGTCAGATAATTAGATATCACAAAAGATATCACAAAAAAAAAAAAGTTGTAAAAATCGACTGAATATTGTTTTAATAAATTTTGTACACAATTTATATTTTATATTTACTCTCATTTCCATAACTTTGTCTAAATAAAGTTATTTCACCTCAAATCCATAATGAAATTCATATAGAAAATTCGCAAAATTATAAGCGTAACGTAGAATTCAAGAAAATGAAAGTTCAATTGTAACATGAGAAAAATTGAAAATTTAATAGTAAAAATTGCAAAATTGTATAACTTCAATAATATATATATTCCAGCATAAAATAGAAGTCATCTACCACGTTATTATATGGTTAATAATTTGATAACAAATTAGAAAAAAGATAAAATATGTATAATTTTAAATTTTCGATAGTAATCCATGAAAGTGAGAATTTAAAATAAAATTATTAAAAATATACAAATTTAGTAATAACGATTTTATTAAGCCGTTAGACAGAAGATTCAAAATAGACTCCAACACTATCATACAAAATAAGATGACTTGGACTGAGTCATTGTGTCTTCTGGAAATTCCATAGGATCTTATTTTCCACCCCGTTGCGTGTAATACTTTAAGTCATAGCTATCGTTTAATTTCACAAGTCAAAATCTATGCTTATATGCCAAATAAAGTCCACGATTTTGCTTAGAAAAACGTTGTGAAAATCTACAGTATATACAATGTTTTTCTGGAAAAACAAATCTTAAAGAAAGATACATTCATATAAATGAAAATAGACATACGAAACATGGAGGAATCAACGGTTGAAATATGCAGGTTCTCAGAATAAAGTTTTATTTTTCTTAAAACAACACTAATGATTTTTTTTTTTTTTAAATGAAACGAAGCTATTAAATTTCATGATAATTGAATATTGTGTAACGAAGGATGGAAATAATCATTCACCTTCCATATAATAACTTCAGATTTTACACGAGTCCTTGGAAAACAGTCTTATTTTCCTCTCACTCTACGAAGTTTCTTGATTTTATATTTCTCTTCTAACATGACATGTGCTATCCTATAAAATAAGGTATTTCAATCCTTTCTATATTCATTAACCTTTTGTAAGTATCTATGATCGAGAAGATATTTGTAACTTAACATTTTTCATTATTTTTAATATTATTCAATATTAAAACAGAAACTTCGGCTGTTTTACACATTTTCTCCAACTCTATCTTGTTCCTTTCTGTCTCAAACCAAGTCAAAATATAAAAATACAATATAAGGTTTCATCAAAGTTATTTGTCATTGGCGTGACATATAAGTTCTAAGCACTTTATCAACTTTGAACCATTCAACCACGTAAAGAAGGGATAAGATTGTGCTCAATTTTATAGTGCATATTAAAATTGTAGAATGTAAACCCAATTAACCATATGCTTTCATAATTTTATTTAACTTTTATCATAGATTATGTTATATTTATTTATTTAATATAAAAACACAGAGACAAGAGAGGCACCAATTGTGTCCCAGCTTCTATAAGTATCCTGTGACTGACAGGTATGTCATCAGCAATCCATCTCCGAAATAGATTTTCTTCCTTTACAGTTCTCAATTATTTTCACATAAAAAATGACAGAAATTAGATCACATAAACTTCTTGAGAAATCTCTAGTTGCTCCAGCATCACTTCCTAATAGTACAACAAGAACAACCTCTTCTCTTCCCCTCTCATTCCTTGATTTGCCTTTAGCGGGTCCTGTTTACGTGAAAAGACAATTCTTCCATCACTTTCCACACTCCACACACCATTTTTGTGAAACCACACTCCCCACTCTCAAATACTCTCTCTCTCTTATCCTTCAACACTTCTTTCCTCTAGCTGGAAATCTCTTTTGTCCTCCACCACCCCACAAACCCTTCATTCGCAACACCGATGATGACACTGTCACTTTAACCATCTATGAATCCAAAGCTGATTTCAACCATCTCTCATCCAACCACCCAAAGAGTCTCAAAGAATTGGATTACCTGTTTCCCAAGTTGACATTCACAACCATGCATGACGACACCTTCATTTTCCCTTTAGCGGCATTACAAGCCACGGTTTTCCAAAACCATGGCCTTTGCATCGCCCTCACATATTGTCATGTGATGGATGGCAAGAGTTGCAGTCATTTCATGAAGTCTTGGTCTTCCCTTTGTCAAAGTGGTGGAGTTGACTTGACACTTTTAGAGAAGTCACCACCGTGTTTTGATAGGGAAGTGTTGAAGGACCCTAGAGGACTCGAGGCTATTTTCTTGAGAGACTATTTCGAAGAGAGATCAACTTGGAAGGATAAGCTCATTGATGAAAATCCTACACATGTGTGTGATGATGAGGAACATTTTAAGGCAACGATTGTTTTTAGAAAAGATGATATTGAGGGCTTAAAAAGATGGGTTCTAGCACAGTGGAAGAAAAATTATGACTTGAACCCACCGCAATATCTGTCAAAATTTGTGGTTATTTGTGGTCTTGTGTGGGCTAGCTTGGTTAAAACCAGATGCAAAGATCATGATGACGAAGAAGATGATAAAGAAGAATACTTTCGTTTTGCCGCAGATTGCAGAGATCGCCTTGGTTATCCTATACCAGAAACATACTTTGGAAATTGCTTAACGCTATGTTATGCCATGCTTAAGAGAAATGAGCTTAAGGGGGAGGATGGTTTTGTGAATGCGGTCAAGGCAATTGAAAAGACAGTGAGTGATATGAAAAATGAACCCTTTAAAGATGCAGAACATTGGAGGGCATTTTTTATGAAGATGTTTGTCTTGGGAAATACGTTGCTAGTTACCGGGTCACCCAACTTCAAAGTTTATGAGACTGATTTTGGATTTGGAAGGCCTACCAAAGTTGAAATGGTTCATTCCTCCAGGTGTATGTCTATAGCCGAAAGTAGAGAAGAGGAAGGAGGACTTGAGGTTGGTTTGGTGTGTAAAAGTACAGAGTTTCAATATTTATTTTCTGTCATTGAACAAGAACTAGAAACTACAAAACTCCAAGTCTATTAGTTAATTACGTGTTAGTCATCATGGTTGGTTTTAACTTCTTCTGGTTGAGATGTTTGGATTTCTGTTTTATTTTTATTTTTGTTTAACTTGGCTATTTAGTTCTAAAACAACTAGGTTTCATCAACATAATTTTGTCATAGTTTTAGTCTTTATATTTGTTCACACTTTGCATTTAGTTCGTATACTTAAATAAATTATGCTTTAATTTTAATGTGAACAATTTTTATCTTCAGATTGTTAGTTTCAATGTAATGTTCTATTTTAGTTGAAGTCACCAAACAGGGTCAGCTTTTGTGCATAATTGACATACTCAAATGACAACTTGGCACGATTCGAAGTCAGGATTTTATAATTTAAATCTAATACTCTAACCATTAAGCTATTATAATTTTCTCGATAATAATTTACAAATAAATTATATTTATATACAAATAAATATATATCCATGTAAATATATATTTATTTGTATATATTTTCTGGAAAGTATTTTTATTTTTTTTTCAGCCAAAAATTCACTTAAGTTAATGAATTGTCACTGACAACATTTGAACCCAGTATTTTAGGGTTGAAAGTTAATATCTCAACCACTAAATTACTATAATTTTTTGATAATAACTTATAAATAAATTATATTAGTATTTTTCGATTGAGGGTGAAAGTGTGATTGACTCTCGCTTGAGTGAAAATATGTTAAAGCTCACTGAAATTCACTCACTCAAGTCTTGCTTGAGCAAAAATTGGTATTTTTCGCTTGAGAGCGAATAACGCGTTTCCCAAATTTATTTTATATCATTATATAAATAAAATTATAAAAATTATATTCTTTCATTAAATTACAAACTCATATAAAGATATCTCGCCACAAATTTAGCATCAAATTTTGAAAATCCACTCGACACACACTTTCATTTTCGAGTATGCCCTCACATCTAACATATAAATATATAATATATTAATATATCAAAATATATAAATATATTTATATTTATATATTTATATATTTACACTGGATGTATATTTATTTGTATATAAATATAATTTATTTGTAAGTTATTATCGGAAAATTCTAGTAGTTTAGTGGTTGGAAGTATCGACCTCTAACTCTAAAGATCTGGTTTGAATCTCGTTAATGACAATTCTTTTAAAAAAAGGGGTTATAAATAAATAAAAATTATTAATTTAAAAAATCATACTTTCTACGTCATTGAAGGTTTTATTTGTAGTAGTGTCATGTGGTTGATGCACTTGTTCAAACTGTCTTTTACTTTCTAGAAACTCTAATTTTAGTACCTACTCATGCAAACTTTTCCATGTTTGTGACTAATTAATGACAAATAACTTTGTTAACTTTTAGCTGTTCTAAAATTATCATAAAATTGAGACTAGCTATGTAAATCTAGTATAAAGTTTTGGTTTTGTAAAAAATTCAAAGAAATGTTTGTATTACATATCATTACCCAAATGTATTGTTTAATGAAAGAAATAAAACACTATCGTTTGTGCTCACAGATCGTCACTCACAGTCGTCCTCCTCGTCTATGTCAATATTCATGTTTTTGGTTGTGGCCATTTGCAATCAGCCATCGTTGTCACGGGGCACCATGTCGTGGTGTCGTAGTTGTTCCTATTTGATTCTTGCCTTGGTAATTTAGTTTCATTTGATTGAAGTTTTTTTTCTCATATTCCAGTTTTCGTTCTTATTTTAAGTTTTTTTTCTTGCATTTGGTTGCTGTTTGGTTTTGTTGGTTCTTCTCACATTTTCGGTTTTTTTTTTTTCAAACTTGTTATGCTATGTTGTTGGTTTAATTTTTACTTTTTTTTTTTATATATTTTGATTATTTTATATATAAATGCTGAAATTTTAAATGTCTAAAAGTGGTTCTTCTTATACAATTGTAGTTACATACCCACTTTTGTTGTTAGTATATTGAATTAACTTATTTATTTTAGTATCTTCGAATTGATATATATATATATATATATATATATATATAAAATTTAATTAAAAGTGTAATAATGTGGAATTAAATATGTAAATATATGAATTTAATTTAATTTTATAAAATAAAATTTATATTCCACTTATATATTATAATTTATTTTACATTATGATTTATATTATAATTTAATAATGTATTCCTAATTACAGTTTATATTATAATTTTTAATACTCTATATGAAATTTTCAACCTATTTTCTCACCTAAAACGTTAACAAAAGTCTCAGTCTATTTTTAATTAATTTTATGTGTTTGTTAGCATCTTGCTCTATCTAGAGAGCACTGAAAGAAGTACCAGACCCCATTATCCTTTGCAGACAAAGATGATGACTTAGACTCAGTCATTTTAAATTCTAAAATTCTTAGTTTCTTCCCACCACTTGCGTAGAACTTGCTTTCAAGAAAATCATCATCATCCTATCAATTAATCTGCATGTCAAGATCTGTGCAGATTTAGATAATAGTAATAAACAAAGAAGACAAATATGCTTCACACAAAGAAGACAATTTTATAACATCTGATTAGAAACAAAGTTGCATTAAGTCGTTAGAGAAAAAAGTCCACGAGCCTAATGCTTATTTAATTAGCTTAGTAAGATTTACAATTAAATTTTTCTTTGCTTATCTACATAGGCTTTTCAGATAAAATGACTTACATTCATAATTATATTAAATAATAATCAAAGAATAAGTAAATAAATTAAATCTAATAACTATTCAGACTCTAAATATTTAACAATTTCTTGTTTGGAAACTGATGATATAAAGTACATTCAAAAGTAAATCTTAAAGCTATAATATTCCTAAGCTAGTGCAATATTTTCTCAACAATTAAATATAAAATTCAATTGAAATTATGCAAAACTTCATCTTCTTAGAAGTAACCACCATGGTTAACATATTTGTAAGATTATCTAATTCAAGGATCTCTCCAAAAACAAAGTATCATCACTTATTAGTTCTCTAATGAAGTGATACCTCAACTGGATGTATTTTGTTCTTGCATGAAAAATAGAATTTTTCACAAGATGAATAACACTCTGATTATCACTATAAAAAACACTATCACACTGTTTCTTGTTCAGCTTCTCAAGAAAATTCTTCAATCAAACCATTTTCTTAATAGTTTTCGAAATAGTCGTATACTCTGCTTCTATGATTGAAAGTACAACGCTTTTTTGAAGTCTGAGACATTCAACTAATTAACTATTGTGCCACTTATTATGAAAATATATCATGTAGTATTCTTCCTTGTGTTTAAACAATCTCTTAAATCCGCATTGAAATATCTTTTCAAAATGACATTATTTATTCTAAAACATAATGCAGTTTTAGAAATTCCTTTCAAGTAGCATAACAACCACTTGACGACTTCCCTATGTTTCATTCATGAATTAGCCATGAATATGCTAACAATTCTCACTATACAAGCAATGCCTAATCTAGTGCATATCATTGCATTAAGCTACAAATTGTACATGCATAAAGAACTTTAATTATTATTGTTTTGTCTTCATTTGTCTTAGTTGACTTTTCTTTAATGAGATTAAATTGAACTATTAAATGTGTACTTATGATTTTGGTATTCTACATATTGAATTTGTAACAATTTTCCAATATACTTCTTTTGAGATAATATTATGGAACCTTCAAATTTATTTCTGCTGATATTTATGCTCAAAATTTGCTTTTGTAATACCCAAATCATTCATCTCAAACTTTTTAGACAACTATATCTTCAATCTATTAATTTCATTTATATTAGAATCTACAACTAACATGTGATCAACATCCAATAATAATATGATATATGATGAACCAAAGTTATTCATATAACAAAACTGAACCATGACACATTTTTTGTACCTTTTTCTATTCATAAAACTATCCAACTTCAAGTACTACTATCTTGGTGCTTGCTTCAACCCATACAAACTCTTGGTCAATTATAGCAAACTAATTTCTCTTTTACTGTCACTTAAAAACCCTCTAGTTGCACCATGTAGATGTCCTCATTAAGATCATCATGTAAGAACGTTGTCTTAACTTATTGATTCTCCAATGTTCCTTCTATGAACATTCTCATTAAGGATTAAATCCCTAATTTCTTCAAAAGTTAATTTCGTAGTCCTAAATGTACTAGTTATACTGTCATGACAGTTCCTAATCAACTATCAGACAACGATGATAGCAATAATATGACTTGTATTTCATCATCAAATTTAATATCCATTGACACAAATTTTGATAATAAGGAAGTAAATTCATTCGCATAATTTGGAACACTAGCATCTTCTCGTATCTTCGTATTAGCTAATTGATAAATCAATAATACCTTATTTGATGTTGATGACTTCTCGTACATGTTTGATAATGTCTTTATCCAACCATATGTTGTCTTCTCATTAACAATTAGGCATCATTCTTCGTCAATGTTAATCTGATAACGTCCAAAGTTTGTCGATCTAACAACTCTCACTCTGTCTGAGACATCATTTTTTGTTTATTCTTAGACAAAGGCTGATGCAACTTTTTCTTATACAAATAATCTTCAAACTGCATCTTTCAAAATCCGAAATCGCTTCCATCGAACTTGCTAATCCTCACTTTCTCATCTTTTGTCATTACTCTCACTCGTGTGAAACCTTAAACTTCTGATATCAGTTATTGGAGAAACACAAATGCACTACAAAATGAAAATAAATGACAAAAACACAAAGAATTTACATAATTTAAACAAAATTATCTGCGTCCAACAATGCACTAGATCATAGTTCTTGTTTACTTAATTAAATTTACAATTACATAAATATTAATAATAAAAAAATAAATAAATGAATTAGGATCAATAACCCTTCAAATTTCACGTAATTAACACTCATCACCACACAATATATAAATATAAAACACTCATCACCTCACAATATATAAATATAAAGAACACCTACAAATCAATAGTTGAATATATATGCAGTTTTCCACATGGTTTTTTTGGAGATTTCTCCGAATTTATGGTATTAGTTTGAATATTATTTAGTTTTAGAATAAGTGAATTTACTGATAAAAAAAATCCCTGCATGAAGAAAATATTGTTGATCATTAAGCCTATGTATGCTCATAAATTAAGAATTGGAATATAATGTGATAGTATATATTCTCAGTGGAATAAATTCTTAAAAATCATCATTAGAAATGAAACAAAGATAAATCATCAAACTATATTAATACAAAATCCAAAGATACTTACTAAAGTTGGAGAAACTGAAATCAAACTTGAGTCACTGACTCAATTTCTTTTCCACACACTTTAGCTTCAAATTTTACTTAGGATTCTGAAACACGAAGTTCTTGCTTGATGACAGAAACTAAATATTCAAATTCTGTTGTTCTACACACTAAACCAACTTCAAGTCCTCCTTCCTTATCTCTACTTTCTGCTAAAGACAGACCCTTCAAGGAATGTACCATTTCCACTTTGGTAGGCTTTCCAAATCCAAAATCAGTCTCATAAACAGTGAACTTGGGTGACCCAGTAACTACCAAAGTACTTCCCAACGAAAACATCTTCGTAAATGATTCCCTCCAGTTTTCTGCATCCTTAAACGGGTCATTTTTCATAGCAGTCACTGCCCTTTTGATAACCTTCGCCGCATTCACAAAACCACCTTCTCCCTTCATGTCCTTTCTCTGGAGCATTGCAAAACATAACGTCAAGCAGTTTCCAAAGTATGTTTCGGGCACAGGATGCTCAAGGCGATCTCTGCAATCTGCAGCGAAACGAAAGTACTCCTCTTTGTCATGTTCTTCATAATCACTTCTGCATCTTGTTTTAACCAAACAAGCCCACACAAAGGCACACGTCACCACAAATTTTGATACATATTGTGAGGAGTTGAATTCTTCACTTCTCTTCCACTGATCCAACACCAATTTTCTCAGCCCCTCGATATCATCCCTTCCAAAAACAAACGTTGCTTTGACATAATCTTCAGTATACCCATTGGAAACATCAGAGGTCTTCCCAACCAGTTTTTCCTTCCATGTTGACCTCTCTTTAAAATAGTCTCTTAAGAAGATAGTTTCTAGTCCTTTGGGGTCCTTCAACACTTCCCTATCAAAGCAAGGTATTGACTTCTCTAAAAGAGTCGAGTCAACGCCACCACTTCGACAAATGGAAGACCAAGACTTCATGAAATGGCCACAGCAGCTATCATCCATGACATGGCAATACGTGATCGCGATGCAAAGGCCTTGAGTGGGGAAAACCGTGGCTTGCAGTGCCACCAAAGGGAAAACAAACGTGTCATCGTGTATGTTTGTGCATGTTAACTTCGGAACCAAGTGATCCAAGTCTTTGAGACTTTTGGGGTGGTTGGATGAGAGGTGATTGAAATCAGCTTCGGACTCAATGATAGTTAAGGGGACAAAGTCATGGTCGTTGCAACGAATGAAGGGTTTGTGTGGTGGTGGAGGACAAAGGAGGCTTCCAGCGAGAGGGAAAAAGTGTTGAAGGGTTTGAGAGAGTGAGATTTTGAGAGAAGGAAGTGTGGTTTCATAGAAATGGAGTGTGGAATGAGGGAAGTGGTAGAAGAATTGGCGTCTCACGTAAATAGGACCTGCTAAAGGCAAATCAAGGAATGAGAGGGGAACAGAAGAAGTTGTTCTCACAGATGGACCAATCTTAAAATTTTCAACCACTTTGTGCCCTCCAAGCATTGACATTTTACTTGATGATATTTCAGAGAATGAAAGCAACTTACATGGAGAAGCAAGTATGTTCCAGAGGTGTAATGCATATATATAATTTCCATTGTCTTCATCATCTTTTGGCCTTTGAAAGATTCAAAGAAGAAAGCCAAGTCAACCTTAAAAAACATAGATATTCCATGCCAGCATGACTTAGTTCTGACGAAAAAGCTTGCCAAAATATTATGAGGTATTTAAAATAAAATATACTTTCAATTTTCATTACAAAATTCAAGTAAAAAGAAATACAAAACTTGTTTAAGAGAATACAAATAAGTAAATCCATTTTAATTTAAAACGGTGAATTAAAACATGGTTTAATAAAATAAAATTAAAAATAAAAATAAAAAATTGTTTTAAATCACGTCTTAATTTCCTACCCGAAGTTACTTTTCCGAAATATAACTTAACCATCTTTTATACTTTTTAAATTTGTCTATTTTAAAAAAAATTTAAAAACAAAATTTCTCCTGATTTGCCATAAAATGTCTTATCTTGACTGAGGCATCGATAACAAGTTGAATATTTTTTACTCACACTTGATATACACTGTGTACTAAAATATTTCAACTCAATATACTTCCATTTGAGTCAAGAACTGGAATGCTTTAACAATTTTTTCTATAAATTTGTAAAATGAAGATAATTATTGAGTAGACTTTACATTCCAATTCTTAATTTATTATTACACAAAAGGCTAATGACCATTTCCATGACTAACAATGTTTATATGCATGGATTTGATGAGTAACTCCACTTCATCTATAAAAAATAAAAAAGATGTTTCAAAATAATATCACAAATGCATAGAAATTTTCAAATTTTGTGACACCATGTGGAAAACTGAGTATTCAACTGTTGATTTCTCGGCCAAGTCACGTAACTTCATTTTCCAAAAGCGTGAAGCATGTAAAGGTAAAGCAAGAAGAGTGTGTGATTATAGCTTTATAATGTTAATAAATTAAGCATTAGGCACCTCACCTTTTCCCAGAAGCAACATAGAAAACTTTCTAATCAGTTTTTTATTAGAAGGTAGATTTACACTTATATTATATTAGATCTCTGGTTAATATAACATTTTAAATTTATTTTTTACCTTTTATATTTATGAGTAGAAATGAAGAACTAATTTTTTATATTTATTTTTATTTTCTTGTAATCTAATTATTAAGATTTATAAATGATTAGATAATTTATACCGCAAGTAATATATACAACCATAAATTTTGACACTATATTAAATAAATTTAAATTTCACTTAATTTTATAATATGATAGTCTAATTATAATACTTTGATTATAGCTTTAATTAATATAGAGTCTCTAACAATAATCCATTTGAACAGATTTTCTCCAACAATAATGATTTGACATGTAAAATTAGATGATGGAAAGATGTTAAATTTTGTTGAATACAAGTTTCTTGCAAGTGGTGGGAAGAAACCAGGAAATGTGTAGAATATATAAAATGACCGAGTCCAACTCATCATGTTTGTCTGCTAATGATTTGGTGGAGAGGTTCCTGCTTCTTTCCATGCTCCACTGTCTACGGCAAGATGTAGGAAACTCATAAATTAAATATAACATTTGTGACCACAAATTAAAATTTAATCATTTTTAATTTTTTTTTGAGTTGTGAGAAGATTGATTAAAAAGATACAAGTTTTGAAGATTCGTATATTGAAGTTGAAATTATATTGCAAGAGGATCTCTAACCTAGTCTGAATCTATCTGGCCCATTTAAATGGGCCACTGTTAACAAGAACTGCCACTTGTCATAGCCCACCTAGTTTCTCATTCTATATTGGCCCAAAACTAATAAAGAACAAATTTTTCTCATTTTAAAAATAGAGAAACTTAATTAATTAAAAACTCCTTGTAAAATTAAAATTACACGTGTGATAATTCAAACTCAAAACTATGATTAAACTATAAAACGAATAATGTAGAATTATTTTTAGTCTAAGTCAAAATTTTACGTGAGGAAAATTAGGAATGTGCTGTTCGAATTATGAAAACAATTATATTCTGTTTCTAACTATAAAAAATAAAATGATGGGTGAAGGAACTTAGGCAATGATAATATTGATACGTGTTCATTACACGAAGCGCCAACACTTGAAATGAAGTTCCGTAATGATTCCCAATTGAAGAACATATATAAGCGTGTCGCCATGTAAAGTTGCAGCTTCCACCCAAAAACAATGCAATGATGCTCTAACCAGCGTGATCCTCTACGTGTAGCCTAGCCATGCACCACGAACCCCACCAACACATACCAAAAAATATTAACGAAACAAGACCATGCAAGATTCAAAGTTTGTTGGAGTTTTGAAAACCACACAACTAACGTAACAACATTCATATTGTGCACATTCATGTTCTTATTCAATTAATAAAGATAATGTTTAAGGTAAGGTGGCAATGTCACCAGCTTTTCATTTCTGCAAGTAATTACCAAAAGCAGGTGTTTATGTGATCATCTATGTGGCTATGTCTGTGACATATTAAGTAAAATACTTTCCTCAGCATTTTGACTTAGATTAGGTATATTTTAATTAAAATAAATGATATTAAAGGTGTATATAATATATTAAAAACGTATATAAAGATATGATGACGCATGTTTGTTAACAACAGTGAGATTCGGAGTATGTAGTAAAGATCTAGCTACGAAGGGTGAACATTTACATACGAAACGCAAAGGAAAACCATGCATAGATAATTCTTTTTCTGAATCTATATTCATTTCTTTGCTGATAATTAACTTTCATGTTTAGTTTACTGTCTAGAGAATGCAACTCTAAGTGCATCTATTGTTTCATTTTTTTGTTTAATGCAATTGACTCCAAAATAAAATATTTATCCGATGAAAATTAAACTCGTACAGTAGATCAATATGTTACCGTCTCGAATTTAACAGGAAAAAATGGAATTAATTGGGGTGGGAACAAGTTTAAATTTTTCTTGCTTTAAAAATTTGGAAACAGGGCAGGATAGTTAATACAATTCTCGTACCGGCCTTCCTTCGATTTTATATTTAAAATTTAAAATATTAATATTTTAAAAGTATTTTCTTTTCTTTTTTTATTACATATAATGTTATTTTTTTATATTTCACCATTTTTATTTTTCTTTTACCCACTTTTTAATTCTTTTGTCTTTTTTAATTTTTTATATTAATTAATTTATTACATTATTTTTTTCTCTTACCTTTCAATTTTTCACATTTTCTTAATCTTTCCAATCAATTTTTTTTTCAATCAATTTGATAAATACAAATCTTTTATACTATAGTTAATTTTTTTCTTTATCTTTTTTAAAATATTTTAGATAAATCTTAGTAATAACTAATATTATTTTATTTATAGTTTATATTTATTAAGTTTTATTATATCATATTTTTTAGATTTTATTATTCTTATTTATCATATATCAAATGTTATCATAATAAAATAATTGTATTTTAAAGGATTAAAAATAATTGATAATTTAAACTTTTATTACTTCGAATTAATTAAATAAAAATTAACTTATTAAATATTTTTTTATAAATTATATATTTGATATTTTTAAATGATTTTATTAACTTATGTAATTAAATGTTTGAATATAATATTATAATAATAATAATTGAAAGGTTTGAGTATAGTATTATAATAATAATAATATTATAAATATTTTATATATGTATAAATAAAAAATAATTAAATATTTATATATATATATTTAATATAAATATAATAAATTAAAATATATATTTAATTAATAATAATTATAAATATTTATTTATGTATAAAAATAATAAAATTAATTTATTATAAATATAATTATTTTTTTAAAATAATATAAATCGGAGAAAGATACTTCATCTGTAACTAGAGAAGCGGAGGACTTTGATCGTTGGCATGCCTACTTCTAGACTTCAAAAGGAGACAACAACTTTTATCAATTTCATGCTAAAAAATGTTCAAGTAAATATTATCTATACATATATATCCATACTTATTTGTAATCTTTGACATCATACACAAATGGGCAAATAACAAATGACTCTTGGACAATCGTTTTCTGCGACCATAAAAAATAATGGGCCTCCATGTCTACAGTGAAGTGCAAGGACTTCACAATGAGCAAGAAACATTAAAGTGACATCATCAGTACGAAGCTTTTCTCCTTCTGCAGGTTGTAACTTAACAAAACGGGAACCAGAATCGTGTGAGATTTCTGAGGGCTATATAATAATATTTTCTTGGTAGAAAAAGTAAAAAAAGCAAGAGGAAAGAATGAACTAACACAGCCTTTGACTTATAATTCCCACGTTGTTAGATGGAAGGTTGATGAATTATGGCACCTGATTTTCAATGGCTTTTGAATATATGGCCACGGATGCTATTACAGATGAAGCAATATGCTGCAAATCACAAATGTCAAGAATCTATGTAATCATTGACTTCACTATTGGAACAAAAATCGACAACTGTCATGTACGATCGTTCAGAAGGTCCCTGCCACAAAAAAATTGGCCACACATTAGAAGACATGTGTTCAAGAATTTGGGGTTGACCTGTTGTTTAAAGGTCAGAGTTTTGGTTGACACATCATCGTAGACATTTAGTTTGGTAGAGTTTTATATTATAGAAAAACAATTTTAAATAATAAACACTCATTTGTTAGGCTTAACAACAACCAAACACAAAATAATCAATTGGTATATTGTATGTGAATTAGTATAGCTTCTTTTTTTTTTTTATGAGATATTGAATTATTAAAAGTAAATATAATTTCCCAAAAATGTTTGTGTATTTTAAACATTAATCTCACATCACATTTTAATGGGTGTTGTACCTGTAAAAAATCCCTTCAATGAGTGGCTCACTATGTTCAAGATGGAACCTTGGCAGTGATAGCCAAAATGTCAAACATTGACTCCGAAGCTTCAACGAAAAAAAAAAAAACACTATGAGGTTTATACAATAATAGTATGTAACTATGTTTGTTTTAGGAAACACAATCGAAGATAAAATATATAAAATCAGAGAAATCTAAAAAGAGGGTTTTGAGTTAACATTTATCTTTACTTAATTATTTGAGTCTAAAATAACAAATAGAGAGGGTCCCAACATGATAGTTTAAATTAAATTAAAGAAAAAAGCATATTTATTACTTACTTTAAACGCAAAGTTATTTTAAAATATTGTTATCCAAAACTCAGAGTCAGAGGCCATAACAAAAGGAGAGAGCGGCGAAGTAAAGGAAAGTAATAAAATGACGAAAGTGTAGAACAAAATTTCTCAAAATGTTGATAAGGAAACTGAACAACCTTACCGTCCGATCATTCCCCATAATACACCTAAAGCTATGGTCCAACTCACTTTCAATCTTCATTTTCTCACCCTCGTACGTACACTTTCTTACAATCAAAATCAACACAAAAACTCAACTCTTCTTTCTCTTTTTCATCTATAAAACAATCTCAAACTAATTACCTTTTTTTAACTTAGGTCAAAATGGCACCAAAAACAGTGGCGTGTAAACAAATCCCTCAACCTAATGCTAGGTGTGTGTGTGTGTGTGCGTGCCCCAATCTAGGAAAATATGTACGCACACAAATACAGGAAATTCTACCATCACTTCGTGTATTCGTTTATAATTAAACTTTTAAGATTTCCTTTCGTAAAATAGTAATGTAAAACCGTCAAATTTCTGCATTTCTATTATTGATAACGATCTGTCAATGTTTTCTTACAGAATCTATACACTTTGTTTAATTACGTGAAAAAACGACTAACTCTCTGAACGTGCCTGCAGTTCCAGCTGGTTATCATCTTCTTTCACCATGGCAATCTCTGACATTGGTGCGTGTGTTCTTTGCATATGCTCCTCTCCCTTCTCCATGTGAAAGTTCCGTTTGAAAGCTGCAAATCATTGAAAAGTTTACATTCACTGATAATATGAGAGTGAAAGGGCACATTTTTCTTCGGTGCAAAATAAAATATATTTTAATCAATAAATGAAATTATTTAACTTGGATTTATTCGTGACTCAAAACCTAAAAACCTTGTCACTCAAGTTTGTGTTTTTTTTTTTAAGTTTTAATTACTATTCCTAAATAAAAAGTATAAAATTGATTTAGCTCATGTCAAATGAAATAAGTTCTAAACACGTAAACAGTAAAAAAAAGTGATGTCATAAAACATTTTTTATTCCTTATTTTATTGAAAACTCTCACCTTATTTTTATTTCATTTCCTATTTTAGAAAATGGTGAAATTTAATAATTATTTATAAAAAAACAATTACTAGAAGAATATGGATTGAATATTTAAATAATTATTGTTATGGTTGAAATAATTATCCAATAAAAAAACATATTTCTTCCACAAAACTAAAAGCAATGTTCATAAAATAATTTAAAAAAAAAACATAAAAAAATAGAAGATTATACTCCCTAAACTTAAACAAAATTTTACATACTATCCTCTCAAATATGGTTGTGAAAATAATATAATTCTTGAAACTTTATCAGATAATGTGTGTTGCATGGCATATATATTTTAAAGGAAAGTATACTGTGGTCCTTCAAATTTAGTAAAAGTTGAGTTGATGTCGGTCTCTTTTTGACCGGACATAAACCTCATGAATACGAGAGTAAATTGTCCCAATTTTTATGCAATGCTGCGTATATTACAGTGTACATTTATACGTACAGAACACTCTTGTGTATACATCTGTTGATATATACATGCAGAAGGCCGGCACCAAATCCTTTTGACTTGAAACAAATAACCCCGCTTTCTTTTGCTATAAAGGCAAGGGTCATCCTAGCTTTGCATTAGACCCAACAAACGTTTACTTTTACCACAACCCTCTCTCTCTCTCTCTCAATCTATCTTTCGTGTTTCAGTGCACTTTGCGGCTGCACTTTTGGAGGTCATTCATCCAGTGCTTACTATTCATCTGCTAGCTATTCCAAAATGGGAAGAGCACCTTGTTGCAACAAAAATGGTCTCAAAAAGGGTCCATGGACTCCTGAGGAGGATCTCATACTCACCAACTACATTAACACTCATGGACCTGGGAATTGGCGAACCCTCCCCAAGAATGCTGGTACCTTTACAATATTTCTTTTTCTCTGTGTTGCCTTTACCAACTTATTGATATTGTATGTTCATTAATAGTCTAATATTAACATATATATATGTTGGACTATTTGTTGGTTGATCACACTCACAGGTTTACAAAGATGTGGCAAGAGTTGTCGTCTTCGATGGACTAATTACCTTAGACCCGACATCAAGAGAGGAAGATTCTCGTTTGAAGAAGAAGAAACCATCATTCAGCTTCACAGTGTCTTGGGAAACAAGTACGTATTTGATTTTACTTAATCAATCTCAGAAGGTTCAAACTCTCTTTTTAAATGTTAGGCTTATGTGTTGTTTTTGTGTTCATTTTAGGTGGTCGGCAATAGCAGCTAGGTTGCCAGGGAGAACCGACAATGAAATAAAGAACTATTGGAACACTCACATTAGGAAGAGGTTGCTTCGAATGGGAATTGACCCTGTAACCCACGCTCCACGCCTTGATCTTTTTGACATGTCCTCGATTCTGAGGTCAGCAATAGGCAACATTAACCCATCGTTTCTGAATCTGCAAGGCTTATTGGGTGCCCAAGCGTTGATGAACCCCGAGTTTCTGAAGCTTGCTGCCACTGCCACTTTGTTATCTTTGAAGAATGATCACAACCCATCAAACTTAGTTTCACAAGTTGAACAATTCAATAACAATGCCGGGAATTGTCAAGTGCAAAGCCAAGTTGCCCCTAATCAGTTTCAGACACCAACTCAAAGCAACAACGTGAACAATGGCTTTTCAATGGCCCCAGAGAATTCAATTCCTTCCTATCTTGGCGAGCATACTTACCTGAATGCTCAACAAAACCAAGTTGATTTGCTACAGGACCCGGAATTGGTGCATTTCTTAAACAATGCAAACCAAAACATAAGTTATGAATCGGTTCTGTCTACGCCTTTGTCGACCCCAACCCCATTGAATTCATCATCCACGTATGTGAATAGCAGCACGGAGGAAGAGAGGGACACGTATTGCAGCGATGTATTCAAGTTAGAAATTCCGGAGAGTCTGGACATAAGTGATTTCTTGTAAATATGTCAGTTTGTGATTGCATTTGTAAACTGCTGTTTACTTTATATTATTCTTGTTATTCAAATATATGTGGGTCATGCAGAATTTTGTAGTCGATCGAGTATATTTCTTCTTTGTTAATTATTTTTGCTTCACAGTTGTCGATACTTCTGATGATGGCACCGAAGTATTTGCAATTTTTACCAGTATCTTCGTTTCAATGCTTTCTACAGTTACATTTTTGTGTGGTGGAGCATAGCAGATTAAGCTCTCTAATCGACAAAGGTTCAGTAAAAAATAACGTTGATATATACAGCTTTAATCAAATAAACTAAAACCAGGAAGTTCAATAGTAATGTAATGTGCTTAATTAACAGCTTGATTAATTTAATTTGCTTAACTATAGAAAGAGTGATAAACTTCAGTAGCGGCTATTATTAATTACTGAAAAAGAGTTTTGATAATTTAGTAAACATCATCAAAAGTTCAACTATATAAGCGCCGCCATAGTGTCAAAGAATACGAAACTTGAGTCTATTTTGGAATATAACAAGGATGTGTTAATTGTCATGATTGAACTTAATTTAAATTGTTAATTTGAAGAAAGCTTAACTTGATTTTATAATTATTTTAGCATGCCTCCTTATCTAAAAGGAGAGAACGAGAAAGAGACAGGAAAGTTGCGCTTAAAATTTGAAGGTAAGGAAAATCTTGTTCTACAATATTATTAATTACTTTAATAAATCAAAAACGGTTGTTAATAAATGTAATAAAGATACTTCCTGAAAAAAAAAAAGTATTCAATAAAAGCATAGTTTTCAATATATTAAAATTTGAAAAAATATTTTGCTAAACGGGATAATATTTTTACTTTTACCATTTTATTAAGAATACAAATCAATTGTTAAAGAATTAAAATTTTTAATCCAAAATAATTACTTTCATTTTATTTATTTTAAATTAAAATGCATGTCAGTTACTATATGCAACCAAAATCCCTTGACTATTATATATATATATATATATATATATATATATATATATATATATATATGTATGTATGAATGAGTATATAAATAAAGTAATTACAAGAGTTTAAAAAATTCAAATAATTTTTGTTTTATTTTTTATATTAAAAAATATGAATTCATTCTTAAAATATGAATATAGATATATTTATATGTTTTCTAGCAACTTGCAAAATTATAGCCAATTTGGGTTTATAGTATTTTAAAATTACATAATCATAATCATAATCATGGATGTATAAATGTTTACATATATAATCAAAATAATGTTTTAAGTAGAGAGTTATTAAAAAAAGGGAGGTTATATGATAAACTAATTAATATAAAAATAATTTATCTTTCTGAAAAATTTTTAATAAGGGGAACTAAAACATATATATATATATATATATATATATATATATATATATATAATTAAAATAAATAGAGAGTTGTGAATAAAAATATTTTAGAGTGTTTGTTTATTTGTTTATGTTTGATTTTTAGTTATTAAAAATGAAAAATAATATTTTATAATTATTTTGTTAAAATAGTTTTTATTTTAATGTTTAAAATAAAAATAATAAAAAATTATACAATTTTTTTTATTTTTAAAAACTAAAAAATTAAGAATTTGTTTATTATTTTTAAAAATAGTTTTTACTTTTTAATTTTTAAAAATTAAAAAATTTGTTTAATAAATATTTTGTTAACATAAATTTTAAAAACTGATTTTTTTTTTAGTTTTAAAAACTAAAAATAAAAATTGATAAAAAAAGTTTAATTTTTTTCCATTAATATATATATATATATATATATATATATATATATATATATATATATATATACTTTCATTAATGATTATATTATATCACCCTTATTCTTCATCATGAGATTATTAAGTTATTTTTTAATTTTATTGTAATTATTATTTATATTTATATCGATATAGAATATTTAAAATCGTTTTTAAAATTTCATGATATTTTATTTGTATTATTGACATTATCATTTTTCCTCTAATACAGTTTTCAAATTATATAGTTATAAAATAATATTTTTTAACTTTTTTTTAAATTCAAAATTTATATCTAAAATGGTTTTTTTAAATTAAAAAAATCAAATCAAATTAAGCAAACTCTTACAATTTGTATTTTATTATTCTCTAAATTTTAAAATTTTTCTTAAAAGTTTAGAATGGAGTGTTTATAATCTATCTTTAACTTTAATTTCCAACTACTATATGTTTTTAACAGGTGGGATTACATGATGACCAGTGACCATTTTTCTTTCAAAAGACAAACTATTTCGTAATTAACTTTAATTTTTTTTTTGTCATAGTGATAGTGATTCTCTATCTATTATTGGGGTAGCAAATGATCATCATTCAGCTTATCACATTCTCTTATCTCTTTACTCTACCGCCCACACAAAAAGTGTTTGAACTTTGAACAATGGAACCACGAGCCACGTTTCTGACCATGCCAAAACACACTGTAGATATGCCATATGAACGTTGATTTCTTTTGACGTTTTTGGCGATAAAAAAAGTGTGCCCTTGTCCTTACATGCCCACTTCCTTGAAAGAGAAGAGAAACACGTAACATTTCTTTCCTCAAATAAGGTGGGATCTGATAAACGTTCATTCTTCATTCTTACTACTCATCATTAGTGTTGTATCCTTAAGGTGGGTTGAAATTAAAAGTTTTTGGCAAGTATTAATTTCCCATGTAACTGTTGTGGGAGAGATTTCAAACACGGAAAGCATTTTCCACAAAAACACAGGCAAAAACCATGTCATCATTACAAATATACAGAAGGAAATAAATTGAGAGACGGGGAAGGCATTAAAAGTTTTAATCGATAATTTTAATTATTGAGAGTTGAACATATCAATAGAAGTGAATAAAAAGTAAAAGATAAATTATACGTGACAAGTTAAAATGTGTAGATCGGTGTAAATTACGAAAGTTTAGGAATTGTTTGAAGGAAGATATCCTTGAAAAGAAAGGTGAGGAATAAATAGATAAATAAATTGATATGATACGATAAGTCAAATATTAAATATTGAAGAATTAAAAACATCGAATATAAAGATTTATATTCTTAAATTCATGTATTTTATCTTCTTTTATTTTATTTTTATGTTTATTTATATTTTTATTTTAGTTGTTACACATAAAAATATAAATAGGGTAAAATAAATATAAAATGGAGTGATTCTCAAATTATATAAAAAAATTGGATTATGAAAAAATTGTTACAAAAAAGGGGGCAATTATTTTTTTATGCAATTCTTTGCAATTTGGATGATATTTTTATTGATTTCCTTTATCATTTTATATTTTATATTTTTGTTAATGAGTTATATTTCACAATTACTTTATAGTGGTTTACTTTTATTAGTAATTTTATTATTTTTACAATTTACTTTTAAATGTTTCAAGTTATATTAAAAATTTAAATTAGGTGTGAAAGATCTTTTGATTGAAATAGAAATACATTATGATCAATATTAGTTGAGTATAGATATAAAAATTCGTATTTGCAAGTACAAATTAAAAGAATCTATGCAGTATTTTAAACTTAGATATAAGTTTATTTAATTAGAGTAACAAAATCATTTACCCTCAAAATTATAACTATGATCGCTTTGATGCAAATCAACTATCCTTTACTTTGTGTGGATTAATTTTCTTTCTAGAAAGGGGGGAACACGTCATAGTGACAATGTGACTGGGTTAATCTTTGTATATTGACTTATCATTTTGTGTGTTCGCTTCTTCCCAACTTCTAAAGCAACCTTTCTTTTTTGACAATAAGAAAAGGAAGCAATAATGGAACCACATATCCATCACTCAGCAATGTTGAGACAGTGACTTTAGAGTGCATGCAGATTGGTTAATTTCCACGCCCATTTTATATATCTCAAGGACTTTGCGAAAATGGTTTTCAAAGCAATTGAAATGGGACTTTCTCTCTTATCTCAAGGACTTAATTTATTATTTCAATTCAAAATTATTATATATGACGAAACTATTTCTGAATATTTATCTTATTATTGGAACCCCAAATTATTGATCAATAAGAAAAAAAGGATATGGATTCAGAACAGCTGGCGTAGTAACATTGAATTCAGAACATAGTCTGCACCGTTTCGTCTAGTGTCTTGATGTAAACTGCAAACAAAGTGCCTCTTGGACTCGAAAGAAAAAAATATGGGCCACATTTCCAAAACCTTCACATTCATGACGCACCCAATACGGTGGAATTTCATCAGCGTATTGGATGTTGAAATTTCAATTTGGAATAACCCCAAGTTGGACTTTTAAACCTTCCATCACCAAGCCATCCTAACACTTTTATCTTTGTTACTACTAGACATGTTTTTTTTATTATAAGTAAATCTGGTAAAAAACACTTTAATAAATTTATCAAAACATATATGTATTTGTCGGAAATTCGATACTTAGATAAAAATGTTAAAAATTTAAATAATATATAAATGAGAGTAGTGTTATATTTAAATTCACAACTATTGTGAGCATATAAATTTTCGTCTACAAAGTGTTCATACATTTCTCTTCTATCATTTTTCTTTCTTGTCCTTCTACCGCCCAAGCAAAACAAGACTCAAGGTGTTTGAATTTTGAATGCTCACGGTTTCAAGCTATAAGAGCCCAAAAGTGCACCTTTGTCCTTATTCGATCTTACCACAATCACAATCTTCAATCAACACACATTAGCCAGAGAGAACCATAAAAACTATATTCGACATGATTTTCTTCTACATGGTGTGAAAGAAACCTCCACCACGTTACCCCTGCATCTTTCAAACGCAGACGAAGTTGTTGACCCTTGTTTCCATTCATTTATGCTATTGTGTATGGCATAAACGAATCACTACTTTACTGCTCCATAATACTACTTTTATATATACCAAAACTATATATATATACTCTTGTTTATTATAATAATATTATTGGAATTCATTTATTAGTCGTGACAATTTTA